TTACAATGACAGTACGTGAGGGAGGAGAAGGGAGCTTGAGGGACGGTTTGGGGTTCCTTTTTTTCGTTTTTCTTTCTCCAAAAAGTTAAATTTGTCATGTCATCTCATTAAATTCCATTACTTATTATTTAATTGTCATATTTTAAAAGAAAGTCATTTTGCAAATAAAAATTTTTGAATTGTCATTTTATGAATAAAGCTTTTCTATTAGACTATTTTTACAAAGTGCTCGACAATTTCTCTGTTTTGAAGGGAAAAAAAGTTGACTTGTCCGACTCTCTCGTGGGGATGGCAACAAGACGGATTTAGGGTGGGGTGGTCTTCTCACCAACCCGCTACGAATAAAAACACTAATTGTACCCGTCTTATAAATGTGTATAAATTGGTGGATTATAGGGTGGATTTTCTCATCACGGAAATGCCCCATTTATCCAATTAGTTATTTTCATTATAAAATAAATAAATAACTAGTTAAAGAATACAAAAATACAAAATATTAAGGGCATGTTTATTTTGCATTAAAGAAAAAAGAAAAGCAATGAGTGATTCCCTTTGCTATCTGATAATGTGTTTACTTATAAAAATTAAATTTAGTGAGTCCCACCTAATATAGGGAATGAGAAAAGTGAATGTCAATTCTTTTACCCATTTAGTATTGATTCCTTGTCAAAGAGAACGAATGGTAAATTTACTTGTCTACTCTTAATAAATTACTATATAATTAATAACTATCAAATTATATAAAAGGACATTTTAGTAATTATATTCATAACATTTTAGTGTTTCCCATTATACTATCTAATAGTTAAGTAAACACTTAATTACAGTTAAACTATGGGCCCGTTCACTTCGTGCATTACACTCAAATAAAGTGAACTCGAGTTTGTTTTTGGGCTGAAATAAGCGTTCGCTTACCCAAACTTGAATTTAAAATTCGAGTAATAACTCGAGTAGGTAAACTTCACCGTCCCCTCAAACTCCCATTACTCGAGTTATTTTCTACAGTGCTCTTCTGACATTTATCTTCCCGTTGGA